CCCCCTACACGCCCATCGTACATAGGAATTTAACATGGTGACATACGCTTTGGCATGACCCCCCTCCCCCCTACCAGTGCGTATGTACTTTGTGCACACCGCCTAAAGTATTTTCCTATTATACTGTATTGTGTGAATTTCAATAATATTTAAATAATTATTATTTTTGTGTTTCTATTACCGGTATAAATAATCTGTATCAAACATTTTGTATTTTTAAACACATAGCGTTCACGTACCTATTCTATTATCTTATGTATTATTTGTATTCAAGTGTTTTTAAACATAATAAAAATAATCAAAATTATACTGTAAAGCTTAGTTCAATGAAATTACTGTACGGTATAATAAACATCATAATTATTGAAAGATAAAATAATTTAATTATACTTTATTTAAAAGTTGTAATAAAAACGCATTCATTTGTCTAATAGTTTTATCGGATGAGCCCATACTTGGCCTCGAGATCGTCGGCCTCTTTGAAAGTCTGTGCGCCGAACACATACTTGTGAGGCATCTCTTGGGCGTCATCGATAGCGTGGAGGGCGGGGGTAAACACACGCCACGCCTCCGCCAACTCATCCGTTCCCACGAAATTAGACTGAATTCCGTTCAGCACATCCATTAGTAGCCGCTCGTAGGCATCCGGAAGGTAGGCATTCTGTGCGGACAGACATACACTCGTTATTAGCATTCAATAAGACAATAGTTATTCAAATAAGGAGATAAAGTCTAGGGAATTGTATTGTAGTAAGTTTATCTAGCTAAAATACACCCAGAGAATAGATTTCATAGTATTCTTACGTAGAATCGTGAGGCATAAGTGAGATCCAGTTCCGTTTGGATCAGGTCACTGTCCATACCGGGCCTCTTGACGTTAAACCTCTGGTACACGGCTTCGTTGGGTTGTATCCGGAATATAGTCATATCGCGCTTGGATTGGCCGCCAAACAAGTCCTTATCCAACGGCTTGTACTGAACCCTAACCTCAACCCGACTCTCATCGGTAGCCTTTCCCGAGCGGATGAAAAAGGGAACGCCTTTCCAGCGATCGTTGTCGATGTGAAGCACGACCACCGAGAATGTGGATGTCGTCGAGTTTTTGGGTACACCCGTGTCATCAGTGTACCCCTTCTGTGCCTCTCCCACGCCCTTAGGGTTACCCACGTACTGACCCAACACCACGTCCGACACCTTTAGGTCAGCCATACTTTGCAAGAGTTTGAGCTATAATTAAAATATTGATTGTACTTTTAATTATCTATTATATTTGTGTATTCAATATGAAACCCATATTTGAATTATGAATAAATTTTATATTAATATATTTCATAAAATAATTTATATTTTCAGATATATAACATATTTATAAATTATTTACTCATTTCATTTTAAGTATTTTCCATACAATAGTTTGCTGTTAATACTGTATTAATATAAATTTAGCTAGTTATAAAAATGAAAGCCTATACTCTGTTTTACATGACATTTATTGTTACAAACCTTTTGTCCGCGTATATCACTAGCACTTAACGTGTCGGGCCTTTCCATCGCCACGAGAGTCAGCACTTGAAGCAAATGATTTTGGGCGACATCCCGGATAATACCGTACTTATCAAAGTATCCGCCCCTACCCTGAGTGCCAAACGGCTCCTTTAATAGGATCTCCACGTTAGCTATATATTGTCGGTTCCACGTGGGCTCCAACTGGTTGTTCCCGAAACGGATGGGCAGTATATTCTGGACCATCTCTTTGCCGAGATAGTGGTCGATGCGGTAGATCT